TGTGTGAATCCTCGCATGCACATTGGCAGATGGAACTCCTTTTAAGGCCTGGGAAGAGCAGGATTCAGAGCAGAGACTCTGAATACAGACTAGAAGGGCTCAAACTCAGGCTGTATGACTTACTGGCTGTACAACCTTGAGGCAATGACATAATCTCTCTGAACCTCAGTTTTCTCACCTGTAACATGAGGACAAAAATAGAGAGCACCTACTTTTTGGCATTATGAAAATTAATTGAGTGATTACTTGTAAAGCCTTAGGGAAAACGCCTGATACACAGTAGGCACTTATGTAAATAGTCCTAAACTAAAAGTTTGGTTTATACTAAAGTACCTAATTTTCCCTCCTCCCTTCTCCCATAAACTCTACCGTGTACCATGCTATCCCAACAGACAGGCAATATGGCAGACAGGGTAAAAGTAGACTCTGGAGCCACACTGGCTGGATTTGAACCCCAGCTCCTTACTTCCTGCTTATCAGATCACCCCTTGGTATCCCAGTCTTCATCTGTAAACCTGGGATGATAGTATATAACTCATAACACTGTTAAAGTAATTAAAGGGAGATAATAATGAAAAGCTTTAAAATTAAATCTCCTAACTCGTAAGCACTCAATAACTATTAGCTGCTTTTGAATTCATTTTATTACCTGCCATCCCCTAAATGTAGCATGTGCTCTCACCTCTCTGCCTTCCATTTGCTGTTTCCTATCACTGGTACACTCATTTCTTCCGAAATACCGCCCTTGAGACATTTCTTCCTCTCACCCCACAGAAATGGGCTCCTTCCTCCCCGGATGCTCCCACAGCCCTTGTTAGGGCGCTCACTCTAAAGGGAGGGCTCTTCCAGGAGAGGACGTAACCGCTACTATGGTTGGTTTTCTTAAAGGCCCAAGTAGAGTCTAATTCACTTTCATATCCTCAGCTTAGTCCCATGTGGAATTTAGAAAGAACCCAATGAGTACACAATTTTAAATGGATCTATGACGATAGCAACAATTCATCCAAGAACGGAATACCAATACTAAACGTACTAGTCCTACAGACCAAATCTCCATTACAGCAGGCACACTTCATTTTATTGTATGTCACTTATCGTGCTTTACAGATGTGCATTTCTTACAAACCAAAGGAAAGACCCTCCATCAGCAAAAAGGTTATGACTTGCGCTATTGCAGTGGTCTAGAACCAAAACCTCAGTATGTCCAACTTATGCCAGTTTTACCAGTGCTTTACCTCTCATGCCTGAACTTGAGTGAGCATTCCCTGTTAACAGTTTCATCTAGTTTAATTTCATCATTCTGAATGTATAAACTCAACCAGTGACAAAGAGAAAATGTTCACTACAACCAAAATGGGGCAGAGGGAAAAGGAGAAGTTTAAAAACAAAACAAACAAAAAAAAACAATAACAACTCATTTCCATTGTAATACATACAGGGCAGTGTTTGGAAGTTTTTCAAAAAAACACACAAAACAACCCAAATAGTACAAGCACATCACTTATCATGTACCATCTAACAGCCCAACATTATTCCTACAAAAGTAGGCAGCAAGCAAATGGAAGCTCTTTCCAGTTCATCTCAAAACACCAGGAGTTTTAGATCAATGTTACTTCATGAAAAACAAACACCTCTTGCACCATTAAGTGTTATTCTTCATGCAGAAATCAAAACAAAAAGCAATGACTAAATTCTCAGCCTTCCTATTTAATTCATTGCATTTGAATAAATAAAAGACCAAGGAAACTAAGAATAAATGGTCAAGAGATCAAGACACTGCTAGTTGTGGCTAGGTGCATCCAGAAAATAACAAATCTGCTGGAAAGAGTCAAACAAGTCACCATAGTGAGAGCTGGCATTCACCTATAATTGTTGAGTCCCAGATTCTTGGCCCAATTTCTTAGACCCTCCATTAAAGGGAGCTTCTCTCCTAGTTTTAAGAGGGAACAATGTCAACCTTACCTTGGTTGAGAATGTTAACCTTATGGCTCTGTGTTCAACACAGCAACATGGAATATCTGCACCTCAGCAAAAAGCAAAGAGGGTGGTCACTCACATGGGCTGCCCAGCACTGATTGTAGGTGACAGAATCACCCAAGGATTGTGCCCAAAGGCAACTAAGTAAGGGGCATCCTTGAATGGAAGTACTCCAGCACAGCTCATTGGGGGAACTTTAAGACTCCATGTACTGCACTGCCCTTGAGGTTCAATGATGGACATTGTAAGAAATGGCCTTATGGAACCCGCATACATATATTTGTGGTCAGGGGGTAGTTTGTAGTGCAGTTTGCTCACAGCGTGTGAGAGGATGTGAGAAAAGACTGCCCTCAGATAGCAATACAAGGAGGCCTGTCTCCCAAGTAGCTGACCTCACTGATCGTTTTCTCTTTGCCTTAGCTGTGAGAAAATTCAGTCATCTCTACTAAGTAGATCCATATTTTCCATGAACCTTAGCCCTGGCTTCATCTTATGTTCCCCTTTTATCCTGTTTTTTCTCATCTACTCTGACTTGATTTCGATGTCTTACTGGATTGTAAATACATATATATATGACGTGAGCCATTAGATATCCTGAAAAGAAGCAAGTTTAAATGAATAAAGAAATAAAACTCAAGTTCCCGAAGAGTAAAAACGAAATGTTTCATCTTCCCTGACTTTCACTTACTTGGCTAAAATTCAACTGCACTTATTGATATGATGTGACAGTTCAATAAAAGTACAACCCAAAAGTTAAACCTGCTTCCACGTCACTGTTTTACTTCATACTAATCAGTCTTATCTGATACTCCAATTATATGCATATTCCTCAATTTAGGTTCCTCAATTACTTTATCCCCAAATTAAGTGAAATGATTTCACTCATCTGCATATGTAAAAATGACAGTCAAGTATAGGTATCCACTCCCACCCACTCTCCTGGGAGAACTCACCTAGAGGGAACAATTCATACCAAGCCTTGTACTCTGATTGCATGCAAATTTAATGCAAAGAAACAGCCAAGGTTTGAAAGGGTTAACCAACCGTAGCTTCCAAAAATGAATCCCAGTGATCCTCAGAGTCTACCTAAAATAGATGTGTGTGTATGTGTATATGTATATATATATATATATACACATAAATATATGTATATGTGTATATATGTATACATATGTATGTGTATATATGTATATGTATACGTATGTATATGTGTGTGTGTATATACACACACACACACACACACACACACACACATACACACACTGTGTTTCCCCGAAAATAAGACCTACTTACAGGTTTTCTTCTGAGTAAAATATAAGGCATCCCTCGAAAATAAGGGCCCCCCCCCCCCAGGCTAAACATGAGAGATTTGGTCCACTGATTCTGAAAGAAATGGAGTCACAAGAAATTCACCAGGAAATTCAGGAATTGGATTGTTATGATGATGTTCCAGAAGATGATGAATGATTATCATTGAATAAATGAGTAAATTCTCGATACTGTAGGATTCACAGTTTGTCTGATTTGTGTTGACAACTACCGTACCACTGTACCGTATACAGGTAATAAATTTCCTTTATTTTCATTTAACAATAAATGTGTACTGTATCCTTCTTCATGGAAAAATAAGACATCCCCTGAAAATAAGACCTAGAACATCTTTGGGAGCAAAAATTAATATAAGACACTGTCCTATTTTCAGGGAAACAAGATATATATATATATATATATATATATATATATATATATATATATATATTTCCATTTGTTCAGACTCAATACACAGCACACTCCTAAAGATGGAACTCGTAATTACTGAAAAGGGAAAGGCCACCTAGGGCCCCGGAGTCTAGGAGTATGAAGATGCCTACAGATCTGGGGAGCCTGGAGGAGCTTAAGTCATTGAACAGCATTTAAATATTATTTGTCTGCTTACAATTTCCAATGCAAATGTGATTAGTTCGCTTGAATAAATAGGACTATGATGTGTTGGCCATGTTTTCCTCTTGAGGGTTATCACGAAGTTTTGATTAAGGACAAATGTTTGAAATGTTGGGTATATTTAAGTTCACTGCACTTAAAATGAGCTAAGAAGCTGCGCGGGCTTGATTAAAGGGCTGCCTTCCAGAACTTTTTTTTAAGCAATACATGCCAATGATTCAAGTGATTGGGACTCAACATGGTATTCTGCCAGAAAAGTTGAAATGGAGTCCAAAGAGACGGAAATGGTGTCCAGGTTTCGAGAGAGAGGGAAGGTGAAAAAGGAAAGGTCAGGCTGTCCGAGCTGCCTTTCCTCCTGGGCCAGTGAATGATTCACATTCCGCAGAATTCCTTTTAAGTAGAACTTCACAGGGCTTAGCCGGCTCCCCGGACAATCTGTTCTGTCATTTCTAAAGAGAAGCCTCTCAAATGCTCAGAATGCCGGCACGTAAGTGTTGTCAGATGGGGAGACTGGGGAGAAAAGGATGAGAAAGGTTGGGGCAAGGAGTGGGGGGCGGCGGTCCTCTGGAGTGTGGGCCAAACTCTCCCAAAGCCACCTCCAAAGCGGAAGTCAAGGTGACTTCCCCGCCCGCGGGAGGGCGGGGCCCGGAAAACCTAAAAGGATCCGGCTCCAGCCCCGGTGCGTCCCGAGGAAGGAGAAGCCCAGGTCCACCCACCCCGGGTCCAGGCGCAGGAGAGGGCTGGGCGGCCCCAAGGACCTGCTGCCCCCAGGCCCTCCCCGCCCCGGGCGCACCGGCTGAGCCCAGCCCGCCGCCGGGCGCCGATCCGGCACCCAGGGGGAGGGTCCCCTGCAAAGTTTCGCGGCGAGTTCCACCTCGGAGCGCGCACGGACCACCCGTGCTGCCCGGGAGCGGCGGCCCCTCCGCCCGCCCGCCGCTGCCAGGTAGCCCGGCCGCCCCGCGCGCCTCTGCATGTCCATGTGCGTCCCCGGTGGCACCCGCCCAGCACGTGCGCGCCGAGCGGTCGCGCCCCCGGGCCCGGTCCGATCGGCGCGCTCCCCCGGGGCCACCGGCTGCGCTTACCTTGGCGGCCGCCATGCTTCGCCCCGCGTGCGGGCTCCTGCGGGACCCTCTGCCCCTCGGCGCGCTCGCACGGCGGACCCGGGCAGCTCACTTCCCGTCCGGGAGGCGGCGGAGGCGGCGATAGGGCCCGGCGGCGTGCGCGCCCGGCCTGCCTCCCCACGCCCTCTGCCCGCCCGCCCGCCCGCGCGAGTCCTGCGGGCGCCGCCCGCCCATTGGCTGGGCCGGCCCGGGCCGCCGGGCGCGCGTGATCCGGTGGCCTCTGCCCCGCGGCCGGGGCGGGCCAGGGTCCGCGGCCGGTGGACTGCTCGCGGGCACGTGACCCCAGCCGGTCTCGGAGGCGAGGGCCCTGGGGCGGTGGCAGGGTGCCAGCCGCTCTCTCTCCTTTGGTCAGGTGGCCTCGGGACAGGCTGCCCCTGGTACCGGCCCGGAAGACACACGACTCCACTGGGTCAGGGGAAGGTGACAGCTCCACTAAGTTCCATGGTTAGCCAGCCTTTTCCTTGTCAGTTTCCCTCCAAGGGGTCTCCATTCTGCATGGTCAGGGAAGGGACCTCAAAGCATGGACCAGTCTAAAGCAGTGTTTCCCAAACTTCTCTCATGATGAGAATCACCTGGTGAAGTTGTTAAACTGCAGATTCCTGAATCCCAACTAAGAAGTGCTAAACTAGAATTTTTGGGAACATATGGGTAAAATTGTATACTTAACCTAGTGCTCTGTCTTAGAGCACTAGTTAAATATGCAATTAGTGCTCTGTCTTAGATAGAGCACTAGTTAAGTATACAATTTTGCCTATATGTTCTCGAAATTCTAGTTTAGCACTTCTTAATTGGAATTCAGGAATCTATTTTAACAACACCACCAGGTGATTCTCATCATGAGAGAAGTTTGGGAAACCTGGTCTAAGGGAAGATAGCAAAGTGATTTTTCCTGGCAAGCCTACTTTCAGTCAAAATCTGGTAAACTCTGATGTGCTAAACAGATATAGAAACACCTTGGCAGAACATATTTATAATTGTAGGGCTATTTTATTTCAGCCCAGCATATTAAGACTGGGGGAAGGGGAGCGGGGAGGAGGAACATACCCTATTAAAACAAATAAGTCAAAATTTTAATAAAAAAATGAAATGTATAATCTCCAGCAGTCTTATTCCTCTTCATCAGAATGTCATTCATTTGTCTCTGCCATCAAAATTTATAGTCAAGGTAATGGTGGCTGTAAATGTTATGTGGATTATGGATATAACCTACCAGTGAAAGTGGGTTATTTTTTTTAACTAATCATTTAATTAATCAACACACCGAATGAGTGCCTACTATGCAGGCACAATATGTGCTACCTGCTGGGAAACCAGCAAGACTTGAGATGGTCCCAGCCCTTCAACAGCTTAGGGTTTAGTGGGAAGGCAGACACATACATTGTTAACTTGGATATAATCTATTAAGGCAGTGATTTTCAACCCTTATCATCTGATGGCACACATACACTAATTACTAAAGTTCTGTGGCACACCAAATATATATATATATATATTGCTGATTTTACAAACATGTAGGTATCATTTTGATTCACACTCTACAGCTGTGTGTTGGCTATTGTCATTATTTTATTTGACAATCTATCGGAAAAGAAGTCAGTGCCCCTGACTAAATAGTCAGTAAGGCAGTGACTTGTTCCCAGGGCACTATGGGAACATTGAGGCTGGGGGAAGCCTCTTAGAGGAGGGGACGCCAAAGCTAAGTGCAGTAAAGGGGCTGTGTTTTAAGTTCAATGAGGTGGAAAGGAAGGGTTTTCCAGCCAGAGAAAATGAAGAGAAGAGACTAGAGGCCCCAAAATTGAGGGGGAGCCACAGCAAGTTATGAAAATGATTTGTCATGAAAGGTAACTTGAGCTGTGGGACTGGTAGGAGTCTGGACAGGCAGGTAGGGACCATGTCCTGGAAAGCATTGGTGCCAGGCCCAGTGGAAGGAAGGGCGTGCACCTTAAGTGAAGGGATTTTAGGCAGAAGGTAGGCTGGCAAGTTTATCAGATACATGGAAAGCTCTTGCTAGTGGGGAGGATGAGGCAAGACAGAACTACTGGAATTCCCAGACAAGACTGGCTGCAACCTGAAATGGGAGAGGACTACTCGAGGTGAAATTAGTCAGCCTTGATGACTGATTGTAGGTGGGGGTGGGAGAGAGAAAGAAGTCATATTGTCTTGCACATGGGCCCCTGGTGTGGATGTTGGACAGACACCAGGGATCAGTTTTGTTTTATTTTGTTTTGTTTTGTACAGAGAGAGAGGGAGAGAGAGATAGAAACATCAATGATGAGAGAGAATCCTTGGTCATATGCCTCCTGCCCGTTCCACACTGGGGATGGAGAGCACAACCTGATCAGCCACCCTGACTGGAAATCGGACTGTGACCTCCTGGTTCATAGGCCGGTGCTCAACCACTCAGCCAGGCCAGCCAGGCCAGAGATCAATTTTGAAGTGTGTGTGTCTGTAAGGAGAGTGTGTGTGCAATATTTGAATCCTCCTATCTAATAAAAGTAATATGCAAATTGACAGTACCTCTGCTACACCTACAAGCCACGCCCACCAGCTAATAAGGAGTGAGTATGCAAATTAACCCAACCAAGATGGCTGAGGCCACAGAGAGAACAGGAGGTTTGGGTTTCCCTGACAATGGAGGAAGTCAAGCTTCCTGTACACCCTGGCTGGCCCTGGACTTCACTCAAGGCTACAAAGTTTCAATTATAGAAGATAAATAAATCCCAACAAAAATGGCTACGGTCATGGAGCAAGCAGGAGGCTTGCATTTTCCTGGAAATGGAGGAAGCCAAACTTCCTGCACACCCTGCATGGCCCAGGCCTCTGCTCAAGGATACAAAGTTTCAATTATAGAAGAGAAATAAATCCCAGATACCAGGGCCTCCGCTTGGGTTGCTGGGGGGCGTGTCTGGCCTGCAAACCATCATAGGCCCCTCGTCCAGGCCACCCTATGCCCCAAGGGAACCCCAACCCTGATCCAGGACACCCTTCAGGGCAAACCTGATGGCCCCCTCCCACACGCCAGGTCTTTATCCTATCTAATAAAAGAGTAATATGCAAATTGACCATCATTACAACACACAAGATGGCTGCTCCCATGTATTTGGTGGGGAGAAGTCAGTGCCCCTGACTAAATAGTCAGTAAGGCAGTGACTGTAAATGGCTGCCACACAAAATGGCTGCCACAAGTTGGCCAGCAGGGGATGGTAGTTGGGAGGGACCAGGCCTGCAAGAGAGGGCAGTTGGGAGCTATCAAGCCTACAAGGGAGGGCAGTTAGGGGTGTCCAGGGCTGCAGGGAAGGGCAGTTAGGGGCAATCAGACTGGCAAGGGAGCAGTTAGGCACCAATCAGGCTAGCAGAGGAGTGGTTAGGGAGTGATCAGGCTGGCAGGCAGAAGTGGTTAGAGGCGAGCATTTGGGAGCTAGCAGTTCTGAATTGTGAGAGGGATGTCCAACTGCCCGTTTAGGCCCGATCCTGCAGTCGGGATCAGGCCTAAACAGGCAGTCGGACATCCCTTGAGGGGTCCCAAATTGGAGAGGGTGCAGGCTGGGCTGAGGATCAACATCCCCCGCCCCCTGCATGAATTTCCTGCATTGGGCCTCTAGTTATGTTATAAAAGCCAAAGAAAGCATTTCAAAAAGGAACAATTAACTAACGCACTCAAGGGATCTAAGAAAGCCCAGGAAGGGCTTTCTTAGATCTCTTAAGATTTAAGAAAGAACTCTTAGATCCTTGTCTACTAACTGTCAAACATGTTAGTAGACAGAGAGAAAATACCAACAAAGAGTGAAAGGGTAAAGACAAAAGCAAAACCAGGAGAACTGATAGAAAAAAGGATGTCAGAGACAAGTCTAAAGCTTATGTGAAAAGCTGGCCCTAGCTGCTCTATAGGGGTCCAGAAAATGCAGAGAAAATACAACTTCATGTAACCAAGATCATATCATATACTGCATATGTATTTTAAGTCTTCATTGAAGCTCTCCTTTTATAAAAGAAACTTTTAAAAATGTAAATGTGGCAAAGTATACATAATATAAAAATCGATCTAACCAGTTGTAAGTGTAGAGTTCAGTAGTTTGGAGCACATTTTCATTGTTCTGCAACCTATCTGCAGCATTCTTTTCATCTTGCAAACCTAAAGCTCTGTGCCTATTAAACTACCATGCCCATTCTTTCTTCTCCCTAGGCCCTGGCAATCACCATTCTACTTTCTGTCGCTGTAAATCTGACTCCTCTGGGAGCCTGATAAAAATAGAATAATACACTACTTGTCTTTTTGTAACTGACTTATTTCATTTAGCGTAATGTCCTCAAAGTTCATCCAAGTTGTGGCACGTATCAGAATTTTAAGTCTCTTTAAGACTGAATAATATTCCTTCTTCTTTTAAAGGAAAATAAAATGAATCAGTTAGATTCTTTCCTTAAAACCTTAGAAAATTCAGGAAGTCAGAGTAATGACAAAAAAAATCACTCCTAACCTTCAAATCTTGATGTATTTATATGTGTACGCAGAGTCACATTTTTACATTTAAATACAAGGAATCATACCATGTGTATACATTTTGTATGGCTTCTCTAACAAAGATCATTTACAACCAGAATTTATTCTCTGACAGTTCCAGAGATCAGAATTCCAAAAAGGAGCCTTTTGGGACTAAAATCAAGGTGTTAGTAAGGCCATGCTCTCTCCAGAAGAGTTAGGCAAGGATCTGCCTCTTTGCTTTTTCCAGGGGCTCATAGCCCCTTCCTGCATCTTCAAAGCCAGGATACATAGCATCTTCTCTCTGCCACTGTATCCCTTACCTGACTTCTGTCTGTGATTTCCCTGTACCTCCCTCTGGTAAGAACACTTGAGATGGCATTTAGGATCCACCCCAATAATCCAGGATAATCTCTACACCTCCAGAACCTTAATTTAATCCCATCTTTGGAGACTCTCCCATAAAAGGTAACTTGCATAGGCTCTGATGATTAGACTA